GAAAATAATGTTCGCTCTCATCATTCATTGAGATTACTTAGGATTTCTATCTTCTAAGAACAGCAATGATGATGATGATGATGATGATGATAATATCTGTTTAATTCAAGTTAACTTCTCTTGATGTGTTAATTGAGAAATCTGTAAAGTTTCAAAAAACTTTAACCTTTTGGTGTCGTCATCATTTATTGTATTATTCAATTCATTTACCATTCACTGGATGTTAATGAACTGTATGATGAATAGACAAGAAACGAAATACCTAATGCTTCTGCCATATGGAAAAAAAAAACTTCTCAATAAAACACATCATCAATATTTTCATCATAATCAATGAAATAAACAAAAAGAAAGCAGTATTCATATAAATTCGTTTGATGTGTTAAGTATGTAAAAGGACAGCAATACTCACTTACCTGATGTTGTTAACGAAAACGAATCAATATTCAAACACGAAAGATTTTCTCTTTTAAAGATTACATCTTCTTGTCAATCAACGATCAATCGTTTCTCCTAAGGGAAGTCAAGTTTTTTTCTACATGCGATTTTTAGGATTGATAAAAATATAAGAAAAACCTATGGAGTGTAACACTAATAAATTCTTTTTTTTCTTCTTAAATTGAATTTAAAAAAAAATTAATTAAACTTACGTTTAAGATTACATCGAACAGTAACTGATGTTGATTTACCATTTTCTTTAAAATACCGAAAACGTATTTTTCTCATTTCTTTTTTTTTTTTAATAATAAAACTATTTGTTAGATGATCGTTTCAAGGTAATGATATGAAAGAGATATTCAATCTATTTGTGAGCGAACGGAAAAGTGAAGATTAAATAATATCAACCAATACATAAACGAGAAGAAAAGAGAAAACGAAAGAAAAAAAACGAAATTTTTTTTCACTTTCGCTCAATTCTGTTCCAGTAGACAGACGCGATATGATGAGTTTTTTTTCTCCGTACGAATGAACATGATACCTCATACTGCGAGAAACGAAAAATCAACAATTGACTTTATCAAGAGAGAGAGAGAGAGAGAGAGGCAACGTTCTCAGGTGACCACTTTATTTAAAAACAACGGCGTAAAATTCATTTCCGTATTATATACAAATGAACTTCTTAAATACGCACGAACACCTACCCAATAGTTGATGATGATCATGCATGAATATTGGATTTTGTTCAATTGTGGATCGTAGTGTGGTGAACTTGAAGAAGAAACAAAAGAAAAAGAAAAAGAAAGATCAAAGAGAGTTACAAATAAATAATACAATAAAATATTTCGTAAGCAAACTTTTGTTAAAAATTTAAAGAATTAATGATGAAAATAAAACTAATATGCTCAGTTTTGATGTCAGTGTTTTATTCAGCTGAGTCCTTTTGAGGATCGAGTTTGCCCTTGGGAAGAGAAAATCTAGATACAACACAGTTCGACAAGATGGGTTCGGTTTCAAAAAAAGAACACAAACCTTTATGAATGATTACAATAAATTCTATAAGAGTTTGATATTCAAGACTTTGTAATCTATATTAAATTCGAGTTATTTTTATGTGTAGAAAAAGTTTGCAATTAAAATTCTGTTTTTGTATTTATACCTTAGCAGGGGTGCCTTGAAAGTGTCCAAGACTCAGGAAGTGTGTTGGAAGTTTTTGCTAAAGTTGACAGGATTTTGAGGGAGGGTAGTTGATCGATTTGTTTGGAATCAGTGAGCAAAAAACTCTATAAAACGTAAAAAAATGAAAATTTTTCAAGATTGAAGGGATCACTTTTGTACATTCGAAAAATGCTGTTATATTTTGAGACTTCTTAGAATAATCTACACGTACGAATATGAAATAGTATGAACGAAAACAAAGGCAAAGTGTTCTGTAATCCGTTTCGCCATTATAAGCTTCAAACAGTGTTTTATTTAGCTTTAGAACTGAGCGAGTGACGCCCCATATTCTAAACAATGGAGATAGATGGTCTTATACTGTGCTCACATTCACGTCTATGCATCTTATGGATGTATTCGTGCTGTCAGACCATCAAAAAAATAGTTTAGCGCTTTCGAAATGTGTCTACTAAGCAAGAAAAGAAAGAGGCGTGCGAAACACGTAAGCGTCAGCAAGAGCACAGAGTAAAGACCGGTACATGGTTGTTTTGAAGATGCGAGATACTTTTTTGTCGTTTTTTTTTGTATTCAATAACCAGTGTACCCTATACGTTTCTCAGATGACTAGAAACCACCGGGTTCACAATTTTCGGAACTAAACCTGACAGGCTCTGTTACGAGGCAGTCTCATCCATCTCTGTTAAACATGTATTTTTATCTGTGCTTCTATTAATTCTATTTATTATCAAATCTTACGATATGTTATGAAAAAAAGGTTCTATCTAAGTTTTAATTTTATTTATGAACATTATTTCATAAATATAAAGCGTACAGACTAATAGCACTAGAAGCATAAGCATGACTTATACATTACCTTAGAACTATTCAATATCCTGAAAATAAGAATATTTTCGTTTTTTGTTTTAAGAACATCGGAAAGAAGCAAACCTTTGGTGATATTTGATAATCATCCATATTATTTTTTGATATGCATGCTAAAGGTATTCGTATAGTTGTTGGTGCTAAACAGTCATAACCAATATGAATAAAATGATTTTCTTCATAATTAATATGATGATATGGTATATAAATGAAATCATGATAATTATGTTTTTGATTATAGGGATTATTTTCAAATAATTTTGGCTGAAATAAAACTAATATTTGTTTTTCTAATAGAATACCATAAAATGTTTTTATTGATTGAATAAATGGCCAATGTGGAATATCATATAATAGTGATTGATAATTATTATATAAAGAATTATTTAATCTTATTTGTAAAATAAGGTCAATTTGAATAATATCAAATAGAAAAAAAGATTTTTGATTTAATTGAATAGAATTTTCATGTTTTTTATATCCAAATGATCCTAATAATAAAGTATACTTTGTTGATATAGAATTTTTATGTTTAAATATTGAATAATTAAGAAGACGAGAACGACGTTTTGTTGATTCTTTAGCTTTAAACGATCGTTCATGAAGACTATGATTTAATGATAATGATTGTCGACGTTTTAATGGTAAAAGAAATGATGAAACACGTTTGATTTTATTAAATGATGATATAGAATTTGATTTAGGTGAGTTATTATCATTCGTTGTTTTTTGAAAAAATAAACATGTTTCTTGTTCATGTTTTGATGGTGAAAGAAGTATAAAACATGATGATGGACGATTTATTGATGTTGATAATGTATCATGTTTTGTAAATGAACGTCGTGTTAATTTAATTTGTTGATCATTTGAATTCGTAGATGTTGAACGTATAAAAGAATTTGTTGTGCGAATATTTCGACTTAATTTTGTTAATGTTTGAAATATATTTGATAAATGAAATGTTGTACGATGATGTTGAGATGATTTTTCAATTGATGGGGAATATTTCGAACCACGAAGTATTGGAATATTAAAAGAAGTCGATGTTTTAGGAGAATTTACAGGTGATGACATTCTTATTTTTATCTAAGAATGTTTCATTATTGTTTGATGAAATCTGAAATAAGAAAGAAAAAAAAAGGTTTCTTGCGCTGAAGAATCCAGATTTCCTCTTTCGGAGGAGCGAACATCTATTTTTTCGAAGCATAGACACATGGTACGTGTTACTCTCTAATAGGATAGTTTTACTACTAAACTTTTTTAAGTTGGGAAGCTGCTGCGAAATAGTTTAAGTTCGAAACGAATTCTTTTTCATCCTATGGATCCCAAAAAGATTTCGTAGACCCTGTCGAACTGAAAAAGGTTCGGTTTAAAACTTATTTACCACTTCTGGAAGGCGAACCGATTCACAGAGACGCAATATCCCCACGCTGGATAAAATACTAATGAAAATAAAGGCATAATAGATATGAAATCTTTCACTGGTATGTCATCATAAGTGTCAGCACTAGAGATGGGATAGGTTCGTGTTTTTGTCGAAATCGAATCGATTCCATCTTTGGTTTAGCACTAAGATTATATCTATTGTATCATATTTTGTTTTTTAAGTAACGGCTTTGATTATTGAGCCTTGTTAGAAAGACTGTGTGTAACCGATATAAAAGAAAAACAATGTTTTATTTAATTCTGTGCTTGAAAAGGGACAATATGGGAGTGTGTAGGAGCTAACATATACTGCTAGACGGTTGAGTCTGGTTTTCGAAAAAAAGCGTCATCATTTCGGTTTTTACCTGAGATAAAAACAAAATTGAGGTATACATAATGATGTATCTACTAAATTAAATCTTAATGAAAATAGGATTGATATATATAGTTGAAAATTCCAATGAACACAATTGTTTAGTGAAGTTATGAAAAACTTCTATAATGAAGGAGCAAGAAGATCAAGTGAAAAACATCTGATTTTGAATAAATCAGTAAGATACAATTGAAAGACGTTTACAATAAGTTTCTTTTTTTCGATCTATGATCATTCTTGAAAGAACAGTTTTCCATGTGTGTATTTAGTAAAATTTCTCTACAAACAATAATATTTATATGCATTGAGAAATTTAAATATAAATTCTAATTCCAATGACGCTTTCTTTTGGGATTAAACTCGCTCAATTAATTTAATCAAAGAAAACTACTATATTTCTAAAATTTAAAAATTTTAATTTTATTTAAATACCTAGAGCAACGGCTATACAAAGGTACGATCCAGGTGCAATGATCAAATTTAATTGGCTGCAAAAAACATTAAAAAAACCAGTAAAAATACATAAAACTAATTTTCTATTGAAAAAGAAAAATCTCTTTTATTTTTTTTTATGAATTAATTTTTTATTCAGATGTCAGTACAATCTGAAGAAAATATAAACAACCTTAGCGCTATCTATATTATACATCAACTGACTGGTTTAATTGATCTGCGTATACATGTTGAATTATGAGATTTTAGATAGAATAATATTCGGATAAAGATGAGTCGCTATAAACATTTTAACGATGAGCTTAGCACAGCTGATATTAATGAAGCAGATGCTTTGCCTGAACTTGATGTTGATGAACCACATCAATTAGAATTTAAACTTCAACTTCGTAATTATGCATCAAATACGATTTCTCCAACAAATAAACTTAATTTAAATCGTCTAAAAATTTGTCTTTCAAGACGAACACGTCTTGAACGTTATTTGATTATAACAAATCTAATACTATTATGTTCGGTATTTTTAATTTTTCTAATATTTTGTTATCGTCATAAAGATAAAAAACAGCCTGAACAATTGTGTTTAACACCTATATGTGTTCAAGTATCATCATCAATTTATTCGGGAATGAATCAAACAATACATCCATGTGATGATTTTCATGAATTTGTATGTGGTCGTTGGATGAAAACAAATATTATTCCAAAAGGTCATTCAGGATGGTCAACAACAAAAGAATTAAGTAGAAAAAATCTTATTATACTTAAAAGTATTCTTGAACAAAAATTACTAAATAATTCATTATCAGTATTTAATGCTGAGCATGAAGCTATTAAATTTTATCAATCATGTATGAATATAAGTGAAATTGAACGACAAAAAGTTCAACCATTAGAAAGATTTTTAAAAGATAATTTTAATTTAACTATAAATGAATGGATTGATATTGATAAGAATCAAACTTGGCAAAGTTTATTTGTATTTTTAACAAAAGTACTTTCGACAAAATATGGCTTTTCATATTTATTACCAATATCTATTGGACCCGATGATAAAAATTCAACATGGAATGTAATTCATGTAAGTGAAATGTATTGAGAAATTCCTTTCAGTTTTTTTTTTTCGTATTTGATGAACAGATCAATCAACCTCAACTTGGTCTTGATAGTCGAGATTATTACGTGAATTCAACTGTTAATAATCGAAGTGATCCAGATACAGATGCAAGAAATAAAATTGTAAATATAAAAATTTCTTTAATAAAATTTGATTTTTTAAATTATTCTTAAGATTCGAGATACATATATAAATGTTGCTTCAGCATTATTACAATTACTTGGATTTGAAAAAAATCAATCGGAAAAACGTATTAATGATATTATTCAATTTGAAATTGAACTTGCAACAATTAGCTGTAAGTTGTTTATATATATAGAAAGAAATTGATTCAGTGTTTTGAGCACACCCAACTTTATAGCTCTTACTATGTGTCTATGCTCTCAAAAATAAGCGCTCGCTTTCCTGACGTTTTTAATAGCTCTGTCAAAAGAAAAGCCCTAGATAAAATACTGCTCATCACATAGCATGGAAGAAGAGTTACATGAATTCCGGCCCAGACTAAAAGACATACAGGACTTCCGGCTTGTGCTCAAATTTCTCTTATTAAATTACCTAAAAACAAGTAATTCTATAAAAAGTCAGTACACTCCATGGTACTTAGAGATATGTATTGTCAATAAAATGTAGTACTGAGCAGGATGATGTAGTGCTGATTAGGCTGCTTTGATCCTATGAGAAGTGGTGTGGAATAATATATTTGATGTGTCATACCAAAAAATAAGACTACAAAAGAAAGATCAAATAACATTTTGATAAATGAAGGATGTGATAACAAAAAGAAAACGAATAATCTTAAACCTACTCCACTATAGGGTGATCGAAGCTTGTACTGCTTGACACTACACTATCATGCTGAACAGAAATCTAGAATTGTAATTTGATCTAAATGTTTACTGCTAATAGATAGTTTTTAATCAAAGTGCAAACTGCTAATCACTATGGAGTGTACCAAGTATTCATAGAAATAAAACTTTTTATAACGATTAATGACAGGAATTGGGCGTGATACCGTAGGCAATGTATATCGAGCAGATAGAGATTACTTATTTTCTGTCAAAAACGACATTGTTTCATAGAAATATTCACTTCTTATATTCAAAAACTAATTTGATAAAAAAAAAACCGTTTGCATGAAAAATTCCTGAGAGAGATCATTACTTTAAGCTCTTATGAAAAAAAAATTCTATTTAAAAAATTGCAAAATGATACATCACTCGATGTGGTTTTTCACATTGATTCCAAGTTTGCCTTTATTTATCTTTCGAAGACCTTCTATGACAAAGAAATAACGAAAATCTTAGAATAATAAAGTTTTTGGAAATTCTGTATCTCAATAAAGAAGTATTTGTTCATCTTAATGCTAAGTGAGTGTATGTCTCAAGTAGAGAAGAACATTTTCTGTAAGTTTACTCAATATCGAATTAGTGGAAAAGTGGCGGTCAACTTTATTGAAGATGTCTTTTCGAAACTTTCAGCATATTCTAATGATTATTAGAGCTACTCAAAAGCAAAAGGTTGGATTGAAACTCTGTCATTTAGTCTTTTGAGGAGTACCTAAAAATGGGTGCACACTTCAATAAAGTGATCATAACTTGGCGCTGAAGGCCAACGTGAATGAACCATTTAGACTTTTGGTAGCCTAACTGAGACCTGTCTGTAGGTACGATATAAGCTAAAATGGCGAATATCAGTTAGGATACTTCCCTTATTAACGTAAAAAGAATAGTTATTTTTTCAGAGCGAAAACGTTTTTTATGAATCAATAGCGTAAAAGTTCTAGTTTTGTTCAATTCTTTATTTTTCCTAAAAAATAATGTTTTTCTGTGAAGGTGCATAAATTACACCTTTTTTTGCCACTAAGCTTTTCCAATGAATTTATCGGGTGGAATAAAAACTGTTTTTACCAAAAGAACTGATCGTTAATCAAAGTGTATAGGTTATTATTCAAATCTCGATAAAACTTACTGTCATGTTTTAGCTAGTGTTCACATTATTGTCGCTTATACCAAATCTGAAATTTTGGTTTCCCTTAAAAAGAATCTTACTATTCATACTGTAAAACATAAATAAAATACAACTGTAATGTAAATTTTATTGGATATTTTGAAATATTTTTTTCTTTTTTAAGTACCAATGGAAACACTACAAAAGCCAAATGAAACGTATTATTTAATGGCATTAAAACAATTTCAAGAACAATATAAATCAATAGGATTAGATGTTTATTCATTACTTAATGATATGTTAAATATAAATGCATCAAATCCAATAAAATTAACGGAAAATGATAAAATAATTGTTTTATCACTTGAACTTATGTCAAAATTATCATCAATTTTAACAAATTATTTATTAACACCTGATAAAAGTTATATTGTTATTGATCATTTATTATTTTCACTTATATTTGATTTAAGTTCACATTTATCAACTGCATTTGAAAAATTAACATTACCTTTATTTAAAGAATTGTATGGAATGGATTCATTACCTGATAGATGGGAATATTGTGTTAAAGAAACTGATGCTGCATTTGGTTATGGACTTGGTAAATTGAAATCTAACAAAAACAAAAAGCAATTTTATTTAATAAGTCTAAAATTTTATTTTTAGGTGCTCTCTATATTAAAGCAGTTTTTGGTGAACAAGATCGAAAAACAGCGAATGAAATAATTACAAATATTCGTCAAATGTTCGATGAAAATCTTAATAAACTTGAATGGATAGATGAACAGTCAAAAACTGAAGCAAAGAAAAAGTTAAAAAAAATTACTGAAAAAGTTGGTTATCCTGATTTTATAAATAATAAAACAAAATTAAATGAACGGTTAGTTAATACAGTTGTGGTCTAATCTCTCTCTCACCAAGACGAATTTTATCAAATGAAAACATTTGTATTATGAGTACACTATCATCACATATAATATAGATCGCCATGGTTAAGTAGATACATTGTTCGACACGTATCTACAAAATGCTGTGTTCAAAGTTCAGTGTTACCAGCCATGGAATGATTCTGGCCAAATTAGTAATGAGTGTTTTTCTCGGAACATCCGTTCGATAACATGATGACTACGTTGTGGCATACAACTATTCTTATGGCTAGTTAGTGTGTATGAGAAACGCAAGAACTTTACGTCAGGTCGGCTTTCTGCTCTGAGTTGAAGCTAGTATTAGTTGTAGAGAAGATATCAGACTAATGAATCTGCCACTAGGCAGCATTCTATACCGACAGGTAGCTGAAAGATAGAGGTATTCTTCTCCCATTATAATGTAAGGTCACCCTGACTTTCATCAATGTCAGGAATTCGATTATTTATAGTATGTTTAACTTTTGGTGGCTAACTCTGGTGATAGAATTTTCCACTCGCACTTTATTGCCGAAATTAATGATTGATAAGTTGTAAGCTTTATTCTTCTTAATTTCATCTGGAGGAGTTATCAAATATTTTTGATGAATGCAAGATCGGATGACATCCACAGACAATCAATTTTGCGAATCCTATTATTCGTTGTTCAATTGATTTTTCTAGTTTCAACTTGTGTTTGCGATCTTCTTGTAGTTTTTACAACGTCGAACAGTGGCCAAATTTTTTTCAAGCTGTTAACAAAACATCACAGTTGTAAATACGATAAACCAATATTCCGTCTAGATTCTGTCTGAAACAAACGATACGATCGAAAAATGTAAACTTGAGATACAATGTCAAACATTGACTTTGATAGAATGTTTGACGCCTCGCACGATCTTATTTTGTCCTCGCGTAAGTTCCATACCAATCATTTGACAGAATTCAAATCGATGATGGTCTCATCACGAAAGACCGTTTGATTCTAGTTCATAGCCTCGGGATCTTGCTCGCATTTTTAAACAATTGGCTTGATGACTTTCTGTAAGCAACGACTTTGATATCGGTCAATTGTATTTCATACTGTTTTGCCACTGAACACAACTCGTTTTCGTTTCAATTGATTTGTAATATCTCGACTGATGACGAATTTATGTTGTTCGGCAAGTGAGGCAATATGTTGATCCTATTTTAGGATCATTGCTCATGGTCGACCTAATCGAATTGAATGAATCAAATTTTTTAACTAATTGTATCGCTTGAGCCAATATTCAGCTGCTGTCATGTCATAGTGGAGTGTTGTTGCGTCAGATGAATAGTTGAGCTTTGGAATCAAAGAATGCTAAAAATGAATTGTTTTCGTTTCATTTATTATAGTTATGCCGGTTATTCTATGATTGAGAATGAATATTTTAATAATGGTATTAAAGTATTAGAACGTGAACGTCGACGATCTCTCTTAAAATTTCGACAAAAAGTTGATCTTACCGAGTAAGATATTTTATAGAAAAAACGTTTTATATATATATATATATCTTTATCGTACTTGTTAAAGTTGGAGTATGACACCACGAACAGTAAATGCTTATTATACACCATCCGCCAATGAAATTGTTTTTCCAGCTGGTATTCTTCAACCACCATTTTTTCATAAGAATTTACCTATATCAGTTAATTATGGAGCAATTGGAACAGTAAAATTTACTTTTAATATTATAATTAAATGTTTTAAGTTGTTTTTTTTTTAAATTAGGTAATTGGTCATGAAATAACACATGGCTTTGATGATCAAGGTCGAGAATACGATTCTGATGGAAATATGCGTTCTTGGTGGACAAAATTAGCAATGGATAAATTCGAAGAAAGAACGAAATGTTTTGTTCAACAATATTCAAGTTATGCACTTGATGGACAAAATGAAAATGGGCAAAGAACATTAAGTAATTTGAATTTTATTCTTTCATAATAACTAGAATTGAATTGAAAATTCATTTTCATTTCATCAATTAGCATTCTTGTTAACTATCGAAACAGATTTACAATCTGAAAGATATCATCTGCATCATGTTGGCAAATGTGTTTAGTAAATATTTTATAGGAGTGGTGGTGGGGCAACTTAAAAATTTGGCAGAAACTGCTTCCATTGTCATAGTGCTAGAATTAATAACAGGGGCGGAAGAGCGAAATCTAACATGATCTGGCTTCTCCTGTGAGACCTGTCCAAGGAGGAAAAAGCGTATTTCTAAGCATTTCTCTATTTCAGAAATACCTAGAAATACCTGGAAATACTTAGAAATACCTGAAAAGTTACAGGTATTTCTAGGTATTTCTAACTATTGCTAGGTACTTCTAGGTACTTCTAGGTATTCCTACGTAGTATGGGTAGAAATACCTGGAAATACCTAGAAATACTTAGAAATACCTGGAAATACATAGAAATACGTAGAAATACATAGAAATACATAGAAATACGGAAATACAGAAATACGCTTTTCCCCCCTAGGACCTGTCACAATCTTGTTCGCATCGCATTGGCATTGTCTGCTTATTTTTATTTATTTCTCTGTTAAAGGAAGGCAAATTATGTTTCAAAATCCGGTTTCCGTTCAAATTTAACATCAAACTGAAAAAAATTGGCAGAAAGTCGAACATTTTGAGGATAAAATACCTGATCTAACTAATCGAAAGCGTTATCTGTGGAGGATTAAAATATGGAAAACGATGTAATTGCTGTTGTTAAACATAAGGGAATGGTTTTTTGCTATCTATTTTGGACTAAATTTCTTCATAATCGCTTCAATTAATCCTTGAGAAATGTAATAAGGAAGCACGTCATATATTATGACGAGAACCTATTGACATACCATCTTTGATCGTATATCAAGCATGTCTGTTAAGTCTGTGGAGAGTTTCAAATTTTTATTTCTATACTTCGACACCCTTTTAAGATTATGTTTCATAAAAGAAGTTACTGAGCCTGGAAAACAACAAAAACTTCTTTCCGGACGTCTCTTGTCATCATTCATAGTAATTCGTCAGAGTCGTAAATATTAAAATAACCGTATATCCTAGGCTTATATTGGCATATTAAATGTTTCGCACGACAAATGATTTCATTTTTTTGTTTTTCACTTTCAGCACTTGTGATGAATTTTATATGCAATAACTAACGTGCATAAATCACACATTATATAATATTGTTTTATTTTTCGAAACAAGATAACACTAAAATGAAGTTAAATATTAGATATTTCTCGTTTTGTTTCAAAAGTATAACAGAAGCATTGATATTCGAAATTGATACTAATAAATATTTCTTTGATAACATCTTTTGTATTATCCACATGATTAGATAGATGTTTTTTAATTTAATATTAAATTATATTTGCTTATTTTCCAATTCACTTCAATACATTCTGCTCATCGTTAATTCATAGAATCGATATATTTGATCTGCAACGATACTATACATAGTTTATGAAAAGAAATCATGATAAATCAAAATGAACTTTTCATAACTGATAGTCACACGACTTGTAACTGTGATGAAAAAAAACTTGATAACATCATACTCTACTCTGAATTTTTATGATAAATAGTACATAAAATCAATTTTCGAAAATCAAGATGCTCGGCAAATGATTGTTGAGTAAGCTTTTTTGTTGAAATTGCATAAACAGAAGAGCGCACATCCTCACTTCTCTACTATCAACATATGATATAATTCTATGAAAAATTAATGCAAAAAACTCATTAATATTTAACATTTTCTTTTTTAGACATAAGATGATCAATTAGTGTAAGAAAATCCTTAGTGCTGATTAACTGCTGAGCTTTGACTTTTTCTTAAATTTAATTTTCATGATTATCCTATCTTCATTTTTTATTCTTCAAGGTGAAAATATAGCTGATAATGGTGGTTTGAAATTATCTTTTCTTGCTTATCAAAAACATAAACAACGTACACTAAATAGTGGTAATAATCTTCGTTTACCCGGCTTACCATATAACAATGATCAATTATTTTATATTGCTTTTGCACATGTATGAATCTAATTATGGTTTCTATTGTTTGTTAATTAATTCATGTGTTTTTTTTGGTATAGAGTTGGTGTAATCTTGAAACTACAAATGCAATGCATTATGATTTAATAAATGATCCGCATTCACCAGCACGTTCGCGTATAATTGGTACAATCGCAAACAGTCTTGAATTTGCTCAAGTATTTTCATGTCAGTCAAAACAAACTATGAATCCGAGTAATAAGTGTCATTTGTGGTAGTCTTTCGAGTTTATTAAAAAAGAAAAAAACCAAAGAAAAAAAATGGATTTTTGTTTTGCATGAAGTACAATGTTATTTCATGTACAAGTCAATTTTGAATGAGTTTATTGTATCGTAGAGTATCATTGTTTTATGTTGTCAACAAAAAAAAATCATTTTCTCTTTTTTGCATTTTAAATGTTTTATATATATTTTAATTTTCTTTTATTTATCAATGTAAATATATATATTTTATTCGTATCTATAATAAAAATGTTTTTCTGTAAATTAAAATGATAAGAACTTATTGATCAATGTAATCAGAATTATATTTGATATCAATTAGAATTAAACAAAACATGATGATTATTGAAGGCAAATACGAAAAACAAACATTTTTTTTTTTTGTTGCAATGAAACCTGAATAGAATATTGATCAGTTCAATTTGTTAAAATGATCTTCAGTCACCCTTCCAGACAATTTCTATCTACATAAATTTTACAAAAATGTATGGTATAAGTAATTAACTTTTTGTAATTCGTTCTCTGTGTTGTTTTATTGATGAGGATGGATGTTTTCCAAATTATGTTGAATGAAAATAAGCAAGGTTCTAGAAATTATTGAACCTCGATTGTGTCAGAAGATATCATCATGCTATATGATGCATTATTTTGTTTTTGTCTATGCAGATTTTATAGCATGTTGCCGACGACTGATAATATTCATCTGTCCACAGTCAATAATACGAGCAGAAAATTATGTAAATGAGAAAGGAAAAGCTTCAGTTGTTAGTTTTCTTTTCTACATGTTCTTGTTGGAATAATCCAAGTATTAGATGATCAGATAATTACAATTTGAGTACGAATCCATTTAAAACGGAGTTGTAACCGTTCGAGGATTTTCGAACTTATTGAATGTAGTCAGTTTGTTGTATCATATTCAATCACATAATACGAATGGCTTCAAGAAGAACACTCATTTTCTTTTTTATATTCAGGTATTTACAAATCTTCAAGGAGAAACATCATGTTATAATCTTTTATAAATGTTAGGTTTCTCAAAGATAAATATGTGATGGTTTTCTGTATAGCACGAAAAATAAAGGAGCAATTTATCCAATAGCTGATTGTCAAATTTCAAACCTTAAGTTTTTTCACTGAGATTTTGAAGACAACCCAAACGTTTCTTCTTGAGTGGCAGCTCAAACTTAAATCTAATCGCTAAAGAAACATCAATAAAATAAGTAGAGAAGTTTTATTTCAGCAACATAGTTTTGATAGTGTTTTTTCCAAAATGAAATATATTTCGATTAAAGAAATAAAACTGTTTGATTATTTTTATAAGAACACTGAAACATACTCTACACATGTTTGGTAAGAAACAAATGACATATCAATAATATTTCTTTCAACCAGCATTGAACATATTTTTTCAAATAGATTTGCGTATTTATACATGAGAAAGGATTCATTATCGTGTTTTAGATATATTATTGCAAATGATTCAGATTTTCATATATAATTCGTCACAACTATTTTTTTTTCAGTCAATTAAAAAAAGCTCGATTAATCGTTTACAGGAGAGAAGGACATAAATATTTTCAAGTTCTAATTCAACTAATAACTGCATTGCAATAGTCCCTCTAGTGCGCTAGTTTAAATGTCTTTGTTTGTTTTGTATATCAAAATAACGACACAAAAAAATCAATAACAACACAATAAACGCAAATTTCCATAATTCTGAATCCCGGAGCGAACCAAATACATAAACATGAGATGAATTCGAAATTGAAAAATACATTGATGCTGTTATAGAACATTCCATCGAAGTTTCAAATGATGAAATTACTTTTTCAAACTGCAAATTGAGTCTTGTATATAGGTATGAATAAATATATTGTTTTCGAGCTTCGAAAAACTTCATTTATTAAAAAGGAACCTCCCCCTCAAGGAGTTAATAGCATTGTTATCTGAAAATAATAGCATTGATGTCACCTTGCTAGTTAGTAGAAAAAAGAGTCAAAGATAGTACCTAACTTTGATGAAATTTAGATGAAAGTAATAACAAATAACAATAATGAGATTACTATTTAAAAAGAAAAAGACCTATGTTCTGAATTTATTCGGTCCAGTTCAATGAAATAGTATCATATACTTGTGTTTTTGTTTAACAGTATTTCTAATAAAATAAATACTTTTATTATATGTTCTTCTTGATGTGATATTTATGTCGCAGAAAAAACTAGAATTCAAGCAAATTTAAAATTTCATTAGAACAATTTAATATTTTGCTTGAACCTTATTCTAAATTTTAATTTGTCCTAAGAAAATTTAAAATTTTCTTGAGTTCTAATTTCTCCTACAACAGTTATGTCTGCTTGTTTTGGTTCAGAAAAAATGAATAAATTATCGAAATACTATCCGTGACTTTGATAACTATGAGTCACGTCGGGTACTAGTCAAGAGACTGATCCACCAATTTTGAAAAATTCTCGTTTTTCTCCACTGGAGCTCTAGCGTCTTATTGTTTTTTTAACTTAAGTTCGCTCAATTTTAACAAACATCTTCCAATCTTTCTTCTGAGTCATTGTATCCACCCTCCCTTCTCGGTTTTGGCGATCTCGATATGTCCTTGAATAAAAAAATATTATTTTCAAATAGTTTCGTATGTCATTAATAAATTGATTTTTTAATGAAATAATACACTTATGATATTGATATCTCTATCCTACCAAATAGATGACGTGTAAAATTTTATATTGGTATAATATGTTGAGCGGAGCAGTAAGTTCATTGTAGAATAAAATTCTTCGTTATTATGGTTCGTAATATTAGTAATAAATGCTGGAATGTTATACAGTAAAATCTTTCTATTGTGTACTCATAGTGCGTAGGAAACATATAAAAGAAAAGAGCAAGAGTTAGAAAAACACTATTACATTCGACAGGTTATTAAAGGAAAACAATATTTTCACTATTCCTTCCAAGGAAGAAGATATTTCACATTAAAGAGAGATATTTTCAGCAAAAATCACTCTGTCGGCTCCAAGATTGTCCATAACTAGCAGATATTCATTAGTAGAGATTTAACTGTAACATAAAAAATTTTAAAGGAATTATTTGTTGAAAATTTTACTATGTAGGTCATACTCACATGCAAAAGAACGAGACATGATAACAGAAACTATTTTTTCAAGGTTACCTTTGAATGCATTAAAAATATTATACAACCTTAAAAGATAAAGTTCGATAAATCTTTTTTTTCATTCTTATCTCAAAGTTCAAGAAGTATATTGATAACATAATTATCAAATAATCTTTTACATAATCACAATAGAAAAATCTAACAATCCATATTTTTTCTCAATTATTCTACTAAATCTTATCCATCTATGAATTTGTATGTTTTTAAATATATTTTCTAACGGATACATAACAAAAAAAAAAAAAAACAATAAACTACAATTTAACTTTGTTGTATAAAATCTCTATAAAATAAATCTTGAATATAGAGTAGAATAGCAATTGGTTGAATAAGTATAAGTGATATCCATACAGCCACATTTCCATATGTTTTATTTTCACCTTTTACACGTCTAACAGCTAAACCTATTGGAATTTGTAATATCATAGCAAGAAAACTCCATGGACGGATCATACGTAACGGAACACTAATTAAATACTAAATACACAAAAAAGAAAAACGAATCATTAAATCATCTTTGAACAAAAACAATTCTCTTGAATTACCTCATGAAAAAAAGCACTTATTATGAAAACCACAAGTGAACCAAGAGATTTACTTAAACCAAAGTGACTAACTAATGGATTATAAATATGTCTTTTACAAAAATCATGTACACTTGTATTCCATCTCTTCCAAAATTCATACAAATCAGTTGCATTCCACCAATCTCGATAAAATAATCTGTCACCAAAACATAATAATTCAGCAAGTAAATTTAATGTTGAGTGAAAATAAACATAAAATAATAATAACCATATTAAATGATTTGGTAATGATAAACGTAATAGACGTTCAATATTTTCTAATATTGTATAATGATGAAGTGGACGATCAAGTGTACGTAATATAGGTAATATCCATTGTTGACTTAAACAATATTGTAATGAACAAATAACAAGTATTTCACCAAAACGTCGACATAAAAAACTTTTGCGTATACATGGTGAACGTGGAAAATTTAATTCATAACAAAGTGTTGGTGCACATAAAAAATAATAAAGATTTTTTATAGTTAAATTATTTGGATAGATTATTGGACCTTCGGATACAATTTTAAAATCTATTTTATCTTGTTTTTTCTTCAATAAATTTATACGACATTGATAATTAATATGTGTATATGAAACTAATTTTAAAAATACAATTGAATAAAGACATACAGCTATAAAAGCACCTGCTGGATTTGGTTGACGATGATGAATATATATAACAGGAAAAATAAGTATTAAACAAGGATTAAGTATTTGAAATAATATTAAAAGTTTTTTTAATAATTTTATTTTACTTAATTTTATTTCAAGCCAAAATTGAAATAATACAAATAAATTAATCAATAGAATAAGAAATACCTAGAAGATATTTGAAAAAAAAACTGCTACTTATTTGAAAATAACTCACTGATGGCCAATTAGTTGGATCTTTTAAAAATCTTAAAGGCCAATTAAATTCAACTAATAATCCATACTTAAGAATATTTTCAATAACAAGATGAGAACTTCCGATTCCCAATATAACATAAAGAAGATTAAGAAAACCTCGATAGTTTTCATAACCACTCGAAGCAGATAATAATGATGGTCGATCTGTAATTGATTGTAGAGTCATGCTAACTATATATGAAAACAAATACCTCGATGATGTGTTGAATCGAAATCAGAGGTCATCGTGTACGAATGTTGTATACGTACTGTAAAAGATAGAATGTAGGCTGATGTTTTAATATATAGACGTGAGAGAGAGAGAACAGAGAAGAAAAAAATAAAACGACAAGGTGAATTACATGATAATGGGTGCACGATGAATACCATACAGTGCCCGAATGTCTCGTCTTGATTGCAAATAAAGAAACATGAATTTATACATAGTGATTATCTTATTAGAAAAACAAAAGATCAGTTAATATTATGAAATTTATTTTGCAAATAAAATAACTTGTCCTTTATTATTTTTCCTGTCAAGAATATTCTTTTTCTTAACATATCGTTGTAGGAAACATAAAGACAATATTTATGTTCTCTATGAACATAAATTTTTCCATAAAAATTCATATAATAAATGTTATAGTATTTGTCCTATTTTTCTTTTAAATGTTAATAAAAACTTGATGATTTATCTCAAGACAATTTGAACTCTTCTCACTATTTATTTCTCCTATATTTCTGCCATCATAAATTGCACTATAGTGTAATGTGTCCAATTAATAAGTCTAATAAGCACCACTTGCACTCAACACGCATTAGTATCATAATCTCTATTGTTCTGACAAGTTGAGTTTTTTTTTAATTTCGTTGAATAATTATTCGAAGAGAAAAGAAACTTTCTCATCTCATCTACGTTGTTAGAAATTCAAGTTGTTATCACCATCGGAAAGAAAAAGAAGACGAAGAAGAAATCATTGAGAATTATTTCTTGGCTCATCAATCTATTCTTCTAGAAAGTAACAAGAGAAAATATAAGTTTTCTTTTTTTTTCTTCTTCTTATTGGATCACATCATATATCATTTTATTTATATATTCATTGATTTAGTTACGTTCTTTCTTTTCTAGAAAACAGAAGATTTTATTGGTACTGGTAATCTGGAGATAAGTAATAATGTCATGTTTTTTTCGGAAGTTGTAATCAAAACTAATAAAAAATAGACTTTTACTATTTGCAATAACAACGAAAAAAGAAAATTAAAAAAAAGTCGTTGCTATTTTCTTTTGAAAATTTACTGTATACAAAAAATTTTCAATGAGTTTGTTTTTATTTCGGAAGAAAAAGTTACATATATTACCAATCACTTTACCGTGTAACTGCCTGCAAGGTTTCTTTTTAACGTTTGATTTGGCGTCAGCTGTCATAACAGAAACCTATATCGATTCGTGCACCTACAAGAGAGAGATAGAGCACACGCAAAAAAAACATCTTAAAAAGAGAAAAAGGAGATGCCCCCACGCAGGATTGAACTACGGACCTCCAGTTTACAAGACTGGCGCTCTACCACTGAGCTATAAGGGCTACAGGAATTGAAGAACATAATTATGAAGACACACTGATTGAATGTTTAATTAAATTACATAAAGTATCATTTCTAGAAAAAAAAAGTTCATCTAGTTTATCCTCTATATATAAACGTTTAATTGCTGCATCAGATTTTCTTTCTTTGTCTTTTTTATAAACTATGTTTCTTTTTTTCTCATAGATTTTTCTCGTATTTTTCAAAGATATAATCAACATGATGATAATATCAAGCTTTGTTTTCTTACAACTATCCATAGTTGTTCTTTTAATGGTTACACTTACGGCAACAAAAAAAATGCCACAATCTATAGAACAAGCGACACAGTCTGCTAATGATGAAGTTTGTTTTGTTTATATTTAAAAAATTTCTATCAATCAATGTTTTCTTTGCAGCAACTTCAAACTCCTGCTGTTACTCATCATCATCAACCTATTGATGATTCAAAACAACCTGCACTTAATGAGGATGAAGATTTAAATAACAGCAATAGTGATGAAGACTATAATCATAATAATCATCGACATCAACATAATCAAGCAATATGGCCTCAAATAGATAACGAACATTATGCAAAGATAAATGCTCGTGCTAGTAGTCCGACTTTAAATATTGGTGACAGTCGTCTTTGGGCTATACCTTATCGATTTGGAAAACGAGTTGCTATGCCTTATCGATTTGGTAAACGAGCTGCTATGCCTTATCGGTTTGGTAAACGTGCTGCAGCCATGCATTTCCGACTTGGAAAGAAAAACACTTCTTTGTAAATATTTGATGTAATTACAAAGAAATATAAGTTTTACGTAGTTTTGTTGTTTGAGAAATGTTGACCACCGAGAAAGGTGGAATTTATCGAATAAAACTCATATTGAACGGCCAAAAACAAATAAGAATCTCTTATTATTCAAACAATCTGTCATGGAATCGATGAATCACAAATTTGAATTAAGGTTTTATTAGGATGAGAAAAAAAGTCTTTTTTCTTGCGTTGTCATATTGACATGTCAATAGTAAGTTTTTATTTTAAAAATAGTTCATTCTTTGAATGCATCATAGTACTTCACAAGAATGAATTTTACTGCTTCACAGAACGCAAAAGAAAATAATCCTTGCCACTGATTAATCTTTTCGAAAAAAGAGAAAATAGAGAAGAGAAAGAGACAAACAAAAAATAAACTGAAAAAAATAAACTTCACCTCTCTTCTTTCTGCATGACTCAACGAGTCTTTTCGACGACAGAAAACTTACTTTTTTAATTATGCTTTATTGTACGTTGATCTAATGGCAATAATTTTATTTAAACTTTGCGTACACATAGAATATAATGGTAAGTAATTAGATATATCATTTTCTCGATTTTACTAAGTTATATTTACATGATATATAAGTCGTTAATTTATATTGATGCGTTTGCGAATTAAAAAAAACGTTATCGTGATTTATCATTAATTGCAATGTCCGTAACGAATAAAAGTGTTGCAATTGTGCGTAGATAGAAAATTTGTTTTTCTCTTTAATTTGAATTATCTTTCAAAAGAATAGTTTCTCTATGTAAGAGTTCATCGAAGAACAAAGAGTAATTGATCGAGTAAGTGAAAATTTTTCTTATACAAATAGTTGACAGAGCGTAGTAATGAAAAAAAAACGTGATATTGGTTTGCTTGGACTCTTGAGTTAAAAGAAACAAGACATTCTGTTTTTGATTACTATGAAAGAAAAACTTTTTCTCTTCTTTTTATAATTAAATTGAAAACAAATGGTATGCATATATATTTATATATATGTTATTTTTCTGGGGTTGTTTTTCTTTATTAATGCATTAATAATTTTACATCGATTGAAAATTTTCCCTGTCGATCCATAAGAATCATTTTTTCTCTTTATGAATAGTTAAACATATCCAATACAAATAAATACCCCGAAGAAGATTAACTCTGTTCGTATAGACCAAAAATTACATTATCTATTTCTTCGGATGTGTTATAGCACGTTCCTATCTCAACAAAGCAACTCTTCCTATGTGTTCTGTTTCTTAACACAGCCGAAACGTACTCATACGGGTATGTGATGTGTACCATTTTTGTACATCCGGTCAATAAGAAAGCAGAAAAATAGAGGAAGAAAACATTCTACAGCATTATTAAGAATAAATAGCGAAGAAGAGAAGCAAGATAAGGGTTGCAGTAGAAAAGCGAGGAGAGAAAAACAGAAGAGAAAAAAAAAAAGAAAATAATCATAAATCATTCAAGTCGACATAGCTATGATATGAGTTAATTGTTGAATGTATTCCAGGGAGTAAGAAGCACTTGAATTCTACTCTTATATAAAAAAAAACGATTCAATAATCAATTATTATATTTATAAAATTTACTGATTGTAAGAAAAGAAAGTAAGTTATATTATTTATTTATTTTAAAACACTTTTCTTTTTCTAATGTTTATCAAAAGAAAGATAAAGAAAAGATGAGTGAATTAGAATATTCTCACAACAAACTGATCACTCATCTAATTAGAAAATAAATCAATTATCAATCAAATAAGACGTTCATACAATTTGCATAATTTATTATTTAGATTAGTCATAAAATATACAAATTCTTTTATCATTAACTTTTGTGGTTAATACAAAAAAATTCTTGTAGATGTTTGATGATGGAAGACTCCCAAGTGATGAATCACTTTTAAGCTAGAACTAAATTCAATCAATATGGTCTCGCCAGTAAGTAAATTCTCTAGAGTGATTCAAGCTGCTGAGGCTTTATTGGTAACTTATAGGAGTTTAGTTTTCAAGCGAAATTATACTTTTGAATTTTGACCGAAAACACTGCTCCTACAAATGTATCGATTGGACTAATTTGTAGAAAAAAATTCAGAATTTTTTCATTAAATCTCTCTTCAAGATATAAATATTTTAATATATAGACATTTTACCATGAACATGGATATTTTGAAAAATTCATATCTTGAACATACTTGGTCAAAAAATTCTGAGACTGTTTTTAATAGGCTAGGCTAGTCAGTGCCTTTATATAAGCAAAGTTTTAGGTCAACATTCAAAAGTATAATTTCACTGGAAAACTGATGCCCTACAGGAAAAATCTACTAAAAATTCTATATCTCAGCAGCAAATGTCAAACATCTCGAACTACTTCAGGGCATTTATCTACTCACTAGACTGTATCGATTGAATAGTCCTAACTCGAAAGTAATTTATCACTTGAGAGCATTTCCTCGTGACTCGATTTTTCTGACATGATATCCTTTTTTTTTGAGAAACTTCTTTTTTTTTTTTTCTTTTTATTGATATTTGCAAATAATAATTTTTCATATGTCATTCCATCAATCAACAGATTTATCTTTAACATATAAAAGTAAAATTCATTGATGATAAATATATTTAGGTCATGGATCAAAACTGTAGAAACAAATATTATTTGAGTGTCAATTTTTTTTGTTTTAAATAAATACAAATCTACAAGCCATATAATTCGTTTTTTTATTTCTTCGACAAACATTACTTACTAGAGTAACAAAACTGTTCTGAGAGAAGTACAAGATACGTCTAAGCGTCATACAAAATCATACTTTAGATTTCAAACATTCTTTTCTGCACGTCCAGATCTGTACATCCGAAACTATTATAATTTTACACATCTAAATCTTTACGTATTTTTCAGTAATGGTAGAACATAAATTAACGATAGACTTTAGGGTACACATAGAGACGAATACCGCTTGCGATTCTTCGAGGGACGCTACATGCTTTCACGCTGCGAGATGGCTATAAAAGGTTAGTCAACCGAACAATTTTTTTTTAATAATTCTTGAGTGATTGAATTCAACTTTCAAGTTGGACATGTATGACAGAGTCGGATATTAATCTAAATGGACCACGAGAGTTTGAACAGTTGTTTTAATCATTTCCAACCCGAAACAATAAATCGAATGAGTTCGAATGGTTGTCTACGAAAGCACGATCCACGTCAATACGTTCTCATGTCGGTTGTTCTTGTCTAGTTAGTGCCCTGCGGTTCCTATAATTACCCGGAAACCGGGCCGGAACCGACGATTCCGGTCCCCAAAATCGAAAAAAAGCGGTTTCAATTTCGGTTCCCAAAATTTGTTTTAGGAACCGGTGTTTTTACATTGATATAGAAAATATTGAGTAAGATATTTTTTAATTTCTGTATTCCTTTTTTGAAATTGTTCATGTTTATTATTTCATTAAAAAGTTTGAAAAAATACAATGAAAGATGAAAGAATGAGAAAACATACTATTATAAAATATGTTCACATGAAATTATTAATATTAAAAAGTTTTAAAATAAATCTACTTCATCATTTTCTTCGTAATCATTAGGTTGTGAATGTGGATGTGGGTGTGAGTGAGTGTTGGTGTGGGCATCAGTGGCTTCAGAAATACATGTAGTCTCACTCACAGTCACAACAACACTCCACCCTTAAGTTCTTATTGCTTCCAATAATTTATTTTAGGGGTAGCAATTGCTAACCATTGCATTGCTGGCGCGTCGCCTATGATTTTAAATATGAGCATGAAAAATGCACAAAATGCATCACTACACAGGTCATAATCTGTGTCAACATATTATTATGTTGCATTTGAATAATTCCTTAGGTACCATTAAAAAAAGTTCGGTTCCAACGGTTCCAGTTCCGGTTTCATTCCCTTTTTTTCACGGTTCCGGTTCCGGATAATAGAAATTGAAAAAACCGGTTCCCGGTTCGGTTCTCGGTTCCATTTGTTTTGGAACCGTAGGGCTCTATGTCTAGTGCTTTGCCTATATTAAAGTATTTGGTATTCGTCATATGACATATTAAGCTTCTTTTAAAGAAATCTTTACTTGAGTATCATTAGGGCTGATCCTAGGCAAGCAATATTATTAGCGCGAGGAGGCACATCACTAGAGTTTGACAGTTCCAAAAAATTGGAACCGGAATCATTAAATCATCAGATATATACTCAAAATTCTTGACGCTATGTCGATGAAACTTCATTTTTTCATTATTACGATTAAAGATTTCATTATATATTTAAAATATTGTTTTGTTTAAGTACTGAAATGTGTGGTATCTTTAATCTCAACAATCACTTCTCCTGTCGGCTTATTCCTATCTACCATTAGTATCCAGTGCTGTTAAAAACGAGAAATTATTCGATCGTATGCCGTAATTTTCAAATTTTTCTGAAACTAGTCAAAATTGATTAAGTTTGTTATAATTGTTTTTCTTCAATTGGCGCTCGTTGCATGTAAAACTAATTTTTTTTACTCAAAATAGTCACTATCGTCCACTTCTGTAGATGAACATAGTCTACAAGATTTTCTGTTCGTTGATTTCAATTAGCGTTTTTCTTCTGTAAGGATTTTGGTTTCCGTTGTTTCTTTCAACGAGGTGAAATGAACAAATGAGTAGATATCGTGCCAACCAATGTATTATCAGAACAGGTAAAAAAGTTTCAATAAATGTAAGCACAAAAAACAACGACAGATGATTATTTAACTTTTTTGATGGATGTTGAAGATATTTTAAACCAACAGCTCTCTAGAAAGTTGGAATATCAATACAACCTTCATCATAATGGTAATTTTATTAAACACTTATCAGTTATGACTTCATGTTTTCGACGTTTTTGAATCCGAACTTTCATGTCTTCACATATTCTTGCAGTCACTGGTAAATTTGGTTCTTTTGACAGTAAACTGATCTCTATATACATGTTTGGATACAGAGAATTTACAGAGTTTTTTTTTCATTCGAGATTATCGATCTTGCAAATAATTCATAATATCTACGAGATTTGATACTACGTTTGGAAGATTTATTGAGTTTTTTTTGCTGACGATGTATTGAATGTCACGATTTATACTCATTTCCTCGTTTCTCTTCTTCAAAACAATCAACGAAAACTAAATCTTCACAGAAGAAAAATGCTATATGGAATAAACTTTTTATGTATCAATAGAGAGTAAATCGGGCACACATATAAATACATAGGTTCAGTCTGTAAGTACACTAATTGTTTCTCATGTCTTTTGATGATCAATACAATGAAATCATATCTAGATCACTCTCAACAAGTAGTACTTCATTTTATTTTACTCATAAAAAGAAAAACAAACAAAACAGCAACACTTTATTTATCGATAGAAATTCTTATTAAAAAGTTGAGCAAGATAACAAAATGTGAACCGTTTGTTCTACTATTTAAAAGTACAAGTTTCACATCATTTTTTACCAATTAGAAAATAATTTTATTTTTTATTTTGATAAGATTAAGAAGAACTACATAATCATTGATATTCAAAACAAAAGATATCTTATTTAATGATCTTTCTCTTTACAGTGAGAATTGACAGATCTTATATCTGCACGAGAATGATAATTTTTCGATCATATATATTTTTGTCAACACGAGAAAGAAAATTGACATGGATGCTTTTAATTTTCAGCTATTCTTTTATTTCTCGTATCATCGTTAAGTCGATTATTAAATAATCGAATAATTTCTTTTGCTTAGAGAAAGAAAGTAAAAATATTCAAAGAATTTCATTTTTGTGTAGACGTCACTTTTTTCTTTCGTATTTCTTCAACTTTTTTTTCTTTATTCTTCCTTTCTTTCTACACTTTCCTTTTATCACACCAAAAAAACAAAACATATTATGTTGTTGAAACTTTGAAAAGAATAAATTCTTCAAACATGTGCTTACGTAAATATTAGAAACTGATATAGAGATAAAAGTAATTTAAACGCACACTTAAACTAAAGTCAATAAAAGCATGTGCCTTCAATTTATATATGCTTACAGCATATTCTTCTTTTCTCTTTCCTATTATTTATCGATATAATACTCAGTGCGAAATATGATCTAAGTTGATTACTGCTGAAAAAAAAAACTATCTTGCGGTAGATTTTTGCCTATTATGTGATAATTGACTATGTTTTTTTATTTGTATTGTTGTTTGTTTTTAAGGTAATTATTTAGTATTATATTCGCAATAAGTAAATATTTATTTATGAATATTTATTATTAATAATGTCATTTCGTTTTCGAAAACATTTTCATTTACTTTACACACTTGTTACACTCAATATAATCTTCTTTCTTATTGTCTATCATCGTCTTATATTAATAACTCCATCATCATCTATTGATTTATCAATAACGTCATTTATTGATAATAATTTCAAAGAACAAAATGAACAATATTTATCATCATCATCAACTTGTTATATACCTCGATTCGATCCTTGGGATCAAACTGTTGCAAAAACTATAAATGTTAAACCTGTCTATCGTTGTCCGATGAATAAACAAAATTTAATAAATGTTGTTAATAATACGCAATTATTTATTAATCAAACAGTGAACAGAACATCGTTTTCAAATTCCATAACACATTGTGTTTATTTAAAAGTTGGAAGAAATCCTGAAGAAAAATTTTTTCGTGATTGGTCTTATACATTATCCGAACCAATACTAATCGTTAATGGATATACAGATCCTATATTAGATACTGATTTTGTTCTTACACGTTGTTATAATGATAAAACACGATATTTTAATGGAAAAACATTTTGGTAAGATTTTTATTATAAAAAAAAAGTTTAATCATAAATATTTATCTTGTCAACACTAAATAAAAGATATAGAATATTTATAAAGTTGATTTAGGATTCGCAAATTGGGAATAGAGTTTTGAAATATTCATTGATCTCTTATATTTATGGATGTTTCGAGAGAGAAACACTCGATACTCAATAATATGTTGTGAGTTTCTTCGCAATTTATATGTTTTTCTCGTTTTTAAAAACAACGACATGATTGATAACATAAATATTAGATAATCATTGTAAAGAAGAAAAATGCTTTTAAGTAATACTTAAGATTTTCGATGATATATAAAGTATTGACAATTCAAAGTTGAGTAAAATTTTGCGTCGAGATTTTTTTTTTCTTTTATCATGTTTGCATAGAGTTCGTTCAGTTACCTCGATAAATGTTATTTTTGAGATACTTAAACGATATTTTTTGTAGTGAGACTTAGCACAAAAAATATCAAAGCTCAATATTTATTCGAATTTGTTTTTTGCTTTAACTCATCATATAGTTAAGAAAAAATGATGCATTCTTTTTGGAAAACAATTGTTCGATTGTTAAGAAAATCGATTTTTTCGGCATGATAGCTAAATGGGTTTGGATTCATAAGTTATGATCATGAGAAGTTCAGTTTTGAAATGAAATGAATATCATATTCTGACTAACGAGGGAACCTCCCGAGGTGTAACCTCTCATTTTGATTCATTTATATCTCATTTAAGTGAGCATATTGAGATAGTAAATACCCTAAAAGGATTTGGGTTCCTGCTTCTTCTATCAAGAGTTACGAACATTTTACTGAATTTCCTATCTATCCCTAGGTATATACTGTAAAAATAAAATTAAGGAATTTCGACCTGAAATTTTGCCTACAAATAGGCTCAATGGTCCTTAAAATATTCTGAAAGTTTCAGCCAAAAAGAATTTTCCTTTCTCGAGATATTAATTTTTCGAGTGAACTCGGTTTTTGTGACGTANTGTATTTTCTCGTGATACTTCATTGACTATAGTTGTACCAGTTGGTTCTGTGATAGTAACTGTTATTTTATTGACATTTGTATTCTTATTAGGTACAGAAACTGTGACTATAATTGGTGTTGTTCCTGGTGCAAATGGTATAAATACAGAAGGATTCACTTCAATGAAATCAACACCATCGGAACCTGGATTAATATCTGATGGTGACGTTGTAGGTGGTGCTCCAATGATAATTGGATTATTGATATATTGCGGATTATTCATGCCTAAAATAGGTTTGTTTAGTATTATACTCGATTATTATCGATGAAAAAAAAGCGAATAATTTCTCTACACCCATCAGAATCTGTTGGTGATAGCAGTTTTGAAATAATAATATGTCTGGTTAAGAATCCATACCTTCCATGAGAGGACAGATCATAGTTGTGGTAATAGCTTTGCTTGTCGCGGGCGTTCCTTCGCTGGATAAGGACGATGCACTTGATTGAGCTAAAAAATCACAAAGTTGACTCATATTAAGTGTGCATGTGAGCGATTTTTACTATACTTGATCCTGTAGAAGGCATTGTGAACGTTGTCGATGGAGTAGATGCAAATGAACTACTTATGTATTTAGTAGTTTCGCGGGAAGTTGTAGCAGCTGAAACTGTAAATAATTTACTTGTTATTTGTGTACAATCAACTAGATTGGCTTTATGGTAGATGGGATGGTCCAGGAGCATATTTATCAAGGCCTTCTCAAAAATCGATATTAGCGTTGGAATAATCAAATGGCATGAAAGTTTCATGATATATTTGAAGTGTAGTGAAGAAGATATGGCAAGGTTCTCAGTAGGATATTATGATGTTTGAGCTAGATGCTGGCGAAATAAAGACGAAAACTAGCGCATTTATCATACCAGAGTTCTATGTGCAGGTTAATTGTAGATAATAATTCTTTTTTGTTTGAAAGAGCATGTAAAGATGCAATGTAGTACAGAGTTCTTTTTGGTAATTGTCACTTTTTAAGAAAAAAAATGCAAAATTCAAAGAGTCAAAAAACTGTCTAAAAATGGCGCTCTAATTTTATGAATCTTTGCATATATAGTAGACGCTAAGGTTTATCAAAAAAGAGCTATGTACTGCATTGCATGTTGCGGTGCTTTTTGATAGAAAAAAAATACATAGCATGAGTCTCGGTAGAGAGATTTGATTTTGGCAAATTGAGAAACTATAAAGTGAGAAAAAAACGAAAAAGATTTTCTTCTTTTTCTGAAAACAGCTTCTTTTTCGAAGAGTAGATGATAGAAATTTTGAAATATTTTTTGAAAAAAATGGGTGCGGAGTAAAAACTGTTGTCGCTTATGAAAGATCAGATCACGGGCTATCTTCTATGGATTTATGTGAATTGCAATCATTCTGACATAAAGTGACTTTTTTTTTTACCACGGGAAGCCTTGATGAACATCTCGAAATACCATCTTCATTTTACAGGTACATAGTTTGTTCCTAAAGGTATACCCGGAGAAGCTCATTACATGTATGATAGCTCATGATCCAGAAACTAAACTGCTGTCACGCATCCAGTGCTTTTGAAAAAAGCAGGAACTCATAAGCAGTTCTTTTTTTCACATGCAGTACAGGTGACGGATAGAATTGCTAAATTATCATTATCATTGTCATCGTCAGGACGCTCACTCGACATGAAAAGAAGTGGTTGCTGGGCAAAACTCTCGTAAAAGAAATGGTTAGTGGAACCACTTCTAGAAAAAGAAGGAACCATTTCATAGAACAGTGAGCTGTCACAAGTTTAAAGCAGACCGAGTTTTTTTGGCTCATTGAAATAGTTTCAAGTTTTGAAGTCGCTAAAGGAACGTCATCTTTTTTCATGTTATATCTGTCAAACTGAAATTTGATGAAGAAAGTAACGAAACAGTGGTTGAATTTCAGAGTATCATGGAGAAAAGATAATCGATGAAATTGATCATTATGATAAAAAACCAACACTCTATTCCCAGTAAGTGCAACACGGGCGCATAGGGAATACAACGAATTTTTGTTAACCTTAAATTCAAATTATAGCATTATTACTGCTTGACATCGATTTCAGAAACTACAATCCAAAAACTGTATCTTAAGCTTATAAAACTACATTGCAGCAAATGAAGGAAGATTTAATAAACCAAGGAAAAATTGGAAAATGTTAAATGATTCAGTTTTATGCGAAAACAGTTGCTACAGAGTAGAACATTTATGATAGTTAGTTTGAATGTTTTGCTTTATAAAGAGCAAGAGAAGTTATTTGACCCACATTTCTTAGTCAATGAATGTTGTCTCATCTGGAGATCATCGAAGAAAATCGAATTCCCTCAAGAAAGTAGAGCAAACTTATAACTCATGCATTGCAACCGGACAAAAGTTATCCTTTAAAGGGTATATTAACTTTTATATTAACTTCTTCTGTCTTACTCTTAATATGAGAAAAATATATATCCTTTACCTTCTGTTACACCAATACTTGTTGAACTGATTGTCAATGTCGGCGTAGATCCACTAACACTTGGTGGAATAGTACTGCTAGTTACAATTGTTGTTGCTGTTCCTGGTGTATAACAAGCAATTATCGAAAGGGTTACATTTTCTGGCGGTTGTCCACGAGTTGTTCCAAAGGTTATTGTCATTGTGCTATTTTCAGGTAATGGTGTGATTGGAAAGCTATCAACTTTATTTGTATTTTCTCGTGATACTTCATTGACTATAGTTGTACCAGTTGGTTCTGTGATAGTAACTGTTATTTTATTGACATTTGTATTCTTATTAGGTACAGAAACTGTGACTATAATTGGTGTTGTTCCTGGTGCAAATGGTATAAATACAGAAGGATTCACTTCAATGAAATCAACACCATCAGAACCTGGATTAATATCTGATGGAGACGTTGTAGATGGTGCTCCAATGATAATTGGATTATTGATATATTGAGGATTATTCATGCCTAAAATATGTTTGTTTAGTATTATACTCGATTATTAGCAATGAAAAAAAGCGAATGATTCCTCTACAGATATCAGAATATGTTGAGAATAGTGTTTTTGAATTAATAATGTATCTGTTTAGAAATTCATACCTTCCGTGATTGGACAGATCATAGTTGTTGTGATAGCTTCGCTGGTTTTTTGAGTTAATTCAGTAGGTAGCATCGATGTACTTGGAGGAACTAGAAAACAGCAAAGATTATGTATATTAAGTTTAGCTATAATTATTTCTTTTTATTGTACTTGATCCTGTAGAAGGTATTGTGAATGGAGTTGATGGAGTTGATGCGAATGAAGTACTAATGAGTTTAGAAGTTTGTGTCAATGTCGTAGCAGCTGAAAATATAGATAATCGATTTGTTGTTGATGTGTAATCAGATACATTATATGAATTGAAGACTTTTTTGTGATCAATGAAATTCAAAATGGAAAATTCAGTAACAGAACTTACAAACGTGAATCCAAATATGGCGAGGTTATTTCGATTTATACGCATTCAACTTATTCCAATTAGGAGCTGGTAATGTGGATCGTTCAGCTATGAAATGGATTTCTGACCTTATGGCGGTTTTCGTAGCAAGCGTGGAAATATGAGAACTATTGAGATGCATTTTGAACAGAGTTATGAGGTGATTCTAGTAAAGTTTAATACACTGTTAATGTGTAATTAGTGCAAAAGATACCTATACTTTTGTTAATCGATTGAAGATGTTGATCTTCATCTGTAATAAAGTTATTGGAATTTTATTTTTATACAATGTACTGTTTTTATATGAAATATAATCGAAAACATTGATAACTTGCAAGTTTTGGTAAATGAATGCTGATTTTTCTCAAGTTCTGTAGTAGGAAAGTTTCAAAAGGAACTGAATTTAGTGCAGCCTTATGGTAATTGATAAATGTTAGTACGATTCTTAAAAGTCACTGCCTGAAAAGCTTAATTATTGTATAAAAAGATTGATGTATATAGTGCTTACAGTATCATGTCCCTCATAGTAAAACTGCGAATATCTTAAAAATAAAATATTCCGTTCCATGCGCGTTATGGGCATCTCAAATTTGAAAACGTTAGTCTAACGGTGGGAGTGATAATTTTATTCGAACATAATCATCTCTTTTAGTTAAAGGACCGAGCATTTCATTGTTAGAGCTAAAAATTTGAAATATTGTTAAATATTGACCGATAAGTGTTGCTGATGAACCAGTCGGTAATCGAGTAGATGATGGCGGTGGCACTGATGATCCCGTCACACCGATTGTTGTTGGTCCTGTTCCAGTACTAGATGGTTGTCCTGTTGTACTCGACAATGATGGTGTAGTGCTCGAGACTATATATATGTAAAAGAATTTCAAGAGATTGACACAGAAATATTTTTGATATCACTTACTCATTACAGTTGTTGACGAGCTTATGGAAGGACTGACTGATGAAGCTAAAAAAGAAGGATTGATTACTGAATATCAAATTTTTTTCATTTTAATTAACTAATAAGGAGAAGCAAAATATAGAAAGTTTGCTATCTTTTCTATCTTTCAGTAGTAGTCAAAGATATATTTTTGCTTTTTCAATCATAGCATTAAATCAAATGAATATGCTGTTAACAATTGATTCGGACTGTCGATATTTAATGTAGATAATTAGTTGCCAGTAGTTATTTATAATCATGAAATAAGTTTTTGAAAATATTCTCAAAATCATCTAAAAAATGCCTTACTTTGACTGGCTGAATAGCTAGGTGTAGTTGAAGTAGCTCTTGTTATTATTTCAGGGTGGAAACAAGCAATGATAGATAATGTAACAGAACTAGGTGGTCCTTGATCTGTTGTTTGAAATTTAATAAGTAATGTTGAACCAGCTGGTAAAGGAGTATCTGGAAAACCAGTGACAACAGTATGATCGATCGGTGAATGAATTGCTTGAATAATTGAACCATTAAATGCAATAATTGTAACAGATATTTGATTGACATTAGTAATTGTTTTATCTGCAATTGATACGTATTCAATAATAGGTGAGATTGATGGAGATAATTCAATAGCTATTTCAGCAGTTTCTGACGTAAATGTAACACCTTCACCACCAGGATTGATATTTGGCAATGAAGGAACATGTGCGCCATTGATGACAGGTGTTGACAAATATTGAGGCTGACCCATCCCTTCTTCCAATGGACATATATGTGTTGAACCAGTGCTGGTTGTTGCAGTACCTAAGAAGGAGAAAATAAGAGTTTTTTCAATAAAATTGCTCGAAATAGTATAGTATAGTTTTTCAAAATGGACTTCTACTGACTAGTTGTTGGAGTACTTTGTACGGTGATTGATGAGGGCGGCAACGAAGAAGTGCCTGGTGTACCTATCATGAAAAAGATACATTATCGTATTAAGAATATAAAATATAATTCGAAAATATAATAAGATTTTTTATCGCTTTGACGAAATTTTCTCTAATTCGAATATGCAGGTTACATAACAAGAGGAAATTATAGTAGGGTGCTAAAAACAATTGCTATTCTACATTCAAGCTTTCGATAAGTCTTTCTTCTGTACTTCATATAGGTATTGTCCAAAAACTCTATCGAAAGACAGCTGGTGCGCATAGGTATCGGTAGCAATCATAAGTCGATCTAAAACATTGTTCAATAAAATGAAAATATCTGATCTATCGACTACGGAGGATTTTTCGACAATTTTACTATTCATTTTACATTACTGGAGAGACAAACATCGTTGAGCAGCCGAAACTCTCTGTCTTACAGAGATTCTCCGAATGTACTATCCACTACAATACCAGATGAGCAAACCATCGTAAACGATAAGGGCAGTAATAGCCTGCGTTGGTACATTAGATCAGAGGAAGACATTAGGTTCAGGAAACGATTTTGAAGAAACAACTGATCATAGCGAAAGAGAGTTACGAAACACTGCAAAATAACAAAATGCTGTAGATGTGTTTAGATAAACAGTGAAGTACTAGCTTCAACTAGAGGGATACAGAAATATCCTATCAGAAAGATCAGCTGAAATTCTATTGTGATTTAGGATGAAACGTACTAGCAGCTATTCAAATATAGGACTTGCCGTAGATTGAAAAATCCTCAGCGAGAAATTAGAAGAATTTGGTACAGTGAGAAGACGATAATTAACGTGGGAATTTTTAGTCTAAAAGTTTAGATTTCTGCCTATTCATTCTATAAGATCATAAGCTGATTCATATGTTCGCATTCTTTAAAGATATCTCGTCTATGAAGAGATAAACCGATTAGGACGAATAAAGCTGTTTTAACAAGGCGAATCAGTCAGTATACAAGCAGTCTATTAACAGCAAATTTTAGAGATATAGGTGTCTGAAACGATCGAAAGGCCATCGAACCATGCAGAACTCCATGTAGTTGAAAGCTAGTAGTCCATTGCTAAGTAATATGTATCAAAAGTGAAATTTGCAAAATCTCGATAAATTAGACAGACTCTAGTGCAAATAATACGAAACAGTAGAAACGTCAGCTGGAAATTATTTGATGACGTTGAAACAAAAAGAAAATGTTTCGAACTTACAATTTGAAGAAAAAAACCGAGTCGATTAATGATTGTTATCTTTCGGAGTCTATTGTGTACATATCTTATCAATAAGAAACAGAGTCAAACTCATCGCTTCTGGGAGGAGATTTTTCTTAGAAACGAACGGGAATTTTTTTGTATTCTTCTGTACGTAATTTTAATTGTCGAATATAAATTTTCAAATTTGATTCAAATATACCTTTGTATGAGGGAGTGCTAGCTGTAGTTGGAGTAGGAGCCGATGAGCTCGTTTGGATAGTTGTCGATTTCGACTTCGATGTTTCTAATCAATGATTACAAGAACAATCGTTTTTATAAAAACAAAAAAAACATACTTGTTGTGGTAGTAGCTTCAGGACCTGCTATTTCTACTGTTTCACCTTCTGTTGCTGGAGATAAATATATACAAATATATCATTTTTAAACGAGTTAAGTAGAATAAAGAGGTATACTCACTCATTCCTGGAGTAACTGTATATTGTTGTGAACTCTCTATAAAGAAAAATGATGTGAAAATAATTCTATGTTATTTCTTCTTACTAGTTGTAAAACGTTCAGTAGGAATAATTGATGTTGTACCTAAATTTATAAAATTAAAGTTATTTATTTTAATTAAAGTTTTTTTCCTTTATCCTAAAACCTGTGGCAGGTGTTTCCAATTCTCCACATATATAAACAGCTACACGTATATGATAAGGCAAATCATTTCTTATTTTAGTTCTTGGTAAAATTTTAATTGTTGTTGTTCGAATTCGATTAAATATTGTTTCCCGATTGTTCTGATTCTATTTTTAAAAAAATTCATAATCAATTTAAAAGAGAAACAAAGGAAAAACTGAAGTTTTATGTTTACTTCTTCTAATATATATTCATCTCCATTTGATTTTGTATATGAAATTGAATAAGATTTAACATTTGAATCAGATAAAAACTCAACAGCATCAATTGTTTGTATTTTGGAAAAGTGTATTATTATGTCTTCATTCTCCTCCAAATTTACACCTGGACCATTTTCTCTGACATAGTTTGTTACAACTTCTTTCTTTATAACTACTTGTACATTAGCCTGATTGCTAACATCACTGCCAAGAATATTTTCAGCATCACAAATATATTGTGTAGCTAGATAATGATTTATGTATTAAAAGAAATATCAAAGTTATTTATTTATTTTTACTTGGTGTTGAAGCAGTCGTTGTTGTTGATATTTGTGCACCAGTTGGTATCGTTCCTGCAGTTGTTGGGAAAACTGTCGAAGCTAATTGAAGAATAAGTTGTTTTTCTTTATTTATAAATTTAATATTGATCTTTTACCTTCGGCACAACCCAATAATTCAATTTGTGCCATAATTGCAGTATTACTTAAAACTCGATCGAATATAAATCGAATACGAGTGACA